AAGCTCAAGCTTAGAGAGTGCTACAGCGGTAACTGCCCGCTATGTGCAGAGTACGCTCGCACTGCGTTCAATTGCAAAATTGTTGTTGTTGTTGGTGTTGGTGTTGGTGTTGGTGTTGGTGTTAGTGTTGGTGTTGTTGTTGGTGTTGTTGTTGTTGTTGTTGTTAGTATTTCCATTTGTTAGCGCTTGCTTTTTTAGTTGAGGGGGAGGGCGTGGTGTGCAGCGAGAAAGGAGGACATCGGAACGAAAGACAGAAAGGTAGAGAGAGAAAGAAGAACGACAGCAAAGAGACAGAAAGAAAGAAGGACACACAGAAACCAGAGAGAACGAACGGCAGAAACAAGGAGATAACAAGCCTGAAAATATAAGACTTTTCAACATAAACAAACAACGCAAGAGAAATGACATAATGCAAGAAAGAGGTACATAATGAACGACATACACAAAGAACGAACGACAGAGCGACAGAAAAAGAAAACATGAACGAACGCACGGAAAAATAACACACGAAGCAAATAAACTACTAGCGAAGCAAGAAGGAACGAAGGAGGGACATACAACAGCCAGCAAGAAACAAAGACAGATGGAGAACGACATCACTATGGAGATAAATCACGGAACAGAGCAATAAATAACAAGAAACAGCCAATAACGAACACCAATACCAACGAAGGAAAGAAGGGCAGAGCGAAGCAAAGAAAGACAGCATACAACAGGCTGCGTGTTTGCCACAGCCTGTTGGAATCTTCAACAGCAGTTTGTTCAGAACTTCTTACATGAAGAATATAGATCTTCCACGGCACCTGAAACACAAACTTAGACCGGCAGATGCTCCTCAAGTGCTGCCCCGAGACGTAAGAATCTCAAACTCGCCTTCCATACACAGCGGATGACAACTTTGCTGGGCAGATGGGGGTATCGGGTCCACGAGCGTCCGTCAGGGAGAGACGGCTTTGGTGAAAAGATCGAAAAGGGGGTCGGGAGTCTCTGCAGACGGTGTGGGCTCGGACGTGGTCAGGGCACTGGTGGACGAACAGAAGGCAGAGCCTTGCACGACCTGGCTCCAGGTTCACTGTTTACTGATCTCGTTTCAATCGCAACCTCAAACGTTGAATCCCAGAGTTGACGAAACGTCTACTGCGAATTTACTAGCATCATTGTGCTTGTTATTCTTCTTTTTTGTGTAAGAACTGTGCATCATTGTTCTTGTTATTCTTCTTTATTTTGTAAAACCAGTTGTTCGCATTATGGTGATGATTCATGATCGTTATGATTGTTACTAATATGATTGCTGTTACTTTTTGGTCATTATTACTCGTGGAAGGCTGTCGTTCTATGTTTACATTAAACAGCTTAAAAGCTGATGTCCTTTGCTGTCATTCTGATCTAATCTAATCTAATCTAATCTAATCAGCTTTCTTTTTAAATATACAACATTCCGTCACTACCCGCACATACCACGCCCAGCCTCAGACGATCTAGAATAACCTTACTTCACTGGATCATACTATTTCATGCTATCAACTCATAGAAGCAGTTTACCCCGAAAGATGGTGAGGGCAGGAAGACTGTGCATACAAAGTGTCTGTAGCGTGTTCGGCAAGTTAACCCGCATGGGCAGGTGCGCACGGAGCCAATCCGAGCCAAACCAAGCCAAGCCCTTTTTAAGACGGCCCGGCACAGACTGCACGCCAAGAGGGTGCGCTTCGTTGTGCTTTCCGGATCAGACAGTGCGGTCAGATGCATGAGACGGGATCATCCGACAAAATTGGAACTATACAGAGAAGATTAGCATGGCCCCTATGCAAGGATGACACGCACAAATCGAGAAGTGTGCCAAAACATCTATAAGGAACGTGATATGAGAGCAGCGATGACCGCATAGGATCCCACGAAGCGGCTCCCTGAATCAGATCCCTGAGTCAGCTCCCGGTGCACACCGAATCGGATCCACCCCGCCATGCAAAATGGATCCTCGTTCCGGACCCCAAACTACCTTGAGACTCCCTGGAGTGCGCAACCCCAAAAACTACCGTGAGACTCTTCCTGAGACTGCCTGGAGTGCCCAGCCCCGAAGACTACCGTGAGACTCCCTGGAGTGCCCAACCCTACAGACTGCTGCGAGACTCCCTGGAGTGCCCTGCAGACTACCGTGAGACTCCTTGCCCAACCCCAGAAACTACCGTAAGACTCTTCCGTGAGACTGCCTGGAGTGCCCAGCTCCGAACCGTGAGACTCCCTGGAGTGCCCAACCCTACAGACTACTCCCTGGAGTGCCCAACAAAGGGGGCTCCCAACCTTCTCACCCCCCCCCAACCTCCAACCCCTGACTGCCCCGCTCGATTCCCCTCAACAGGGAGGGGCCCCAAACAGCCCTTCTCCGTTCTCTTCCCTTAAAAGTCGAGGCCAAAGCCATGGTCCTCGAGGGCTTCGGGATGTCCGCAGACCGGAAGGCTTGGGAAGCATCGAAGCATCAGCAGCGCAGCAGCAGTGGCTTGGCAAATCGACGGCGTCAGGTCACTGCTGGGAGGGTGACAATCTTCCCCCCGGAGCTGGAGGAGGAGCAGGCGCTGCAACGCTCACAGCTGCTTCAGCTGTGACTCAGCAACCTGCGATCTCTGGGTGTTACAGAGATCGTGGAGTACGTCATGTACTGGGCCAAGCAGGACAGGTCCCTGCTCGGGGTCCTCCGCCTGGCAGTCGAGTTTCGATCAAGGCTTGTTCCGACCAGCTCGGGCGACTGGCAGGAGATTTCTTGGTCAGATGAGCTGGTGATTCAGCGCCGGAGCCTCGTGCTTGAGTTGCACCCTCGAGCTGTTTGGTTTTGCATCCGGATGCGTCAAACTTGTCCAGCTGCTTAGATGGAACGAACGACTCTCGGTTCTCAATCTTTGGGCTCAGGCCCTCTATGGCTACCCCCGCAAAGCCGGCCAAGGGTAAATGGAGTCCTTAGGGGAGCCTGGGCCAGTGAGCACGGCACATAGCCAAACTGAAATGGATGAAGACGCACTGCTGTGGGGCACGATGGCTTTTAGCCATAGCCACATGCCTCGAGCAATTTGTGGGCAATGCTGGAACGCCAGAGCCTGAGCTGGATGTTATGTACCTGAAGTACAAGGAGCAGCCTATTGACACCACGCCGGTCTTCAACCCCAACGACGTGATGTACAATGCGACCTTGGACTATAAGATGCATTTCTTTGCTGTGCAGGCTACACCCCTGGGTGAGGCTATCATCACAAACATTTACTTGTGTCCAAACCTGGACTGCCTGCATCACCAAACCCCGCGCGCCATTATCGACTTCTCAGAGAAGGTGGTGTTGGACAGGGGGGAGAAAACGCTTTACAAATTCGATGTGGAGCTCCACGGCAGATCCAGAACGTACACCATAAATGTCAATAGGCTCCATGGAACAGAAACGAACTTGAGACACCTAATCGTGGCGGGACACACCGTCCACCCCAAGTTCAGCCCCAACCATCATGGAATGTACCGCTGCTTTTTAGATGTATCTACAGAGCTGGCCATGCTCGAGTTGCACCTTCAGGATCAAGGCCAAACAGTTGTGGCAGAAGCGGAGCCTCCGGTGCCAGATGACAACATCACCGGCCTGGACAAGTGGCGGGACAACAGCAAACCAGAACCCCTGAGATCGACTCCCATCCGCAGGCTCAGAGAGGAGGCATATGGGGAGTTCCAGTATCCGAACAAGTATCTCCAGTTTCCTGTGCCTATGGGGATGAAGCGCAAGATCAGACTTATGGTGCTCTCGTCTGACGGCAACCACCGAGGCTATTACTCGATAGACTTGGCACGACAGGGGTGCGTTGAGGGTCTGCCGCTCTTTGACGTTCGCACTCGCAGCTGCGTGCGCTTCTGCGACGTGGGTTATTGGCCGGACTACCAGGCCCACCGCTGCAAGCGCTGCCCGGACCTCTGTGTCAGCTGCGTCTCTGCACAGAAATGCGTCCTCTGCCCAAAGCCGACGACAGAGGAGCAGTACAAGCTAAACAGCGAGGGCAGGTGCGTGCCACACACCAGGCCCTTCTGGCAGCACAGCGAGCGAGCACTGTCCATCGCCCTCGCAAGCATAGCGACCCTGATCTTCTGCTGCGGCTTACTCGCTTTTCGCCTCACGCCATCAGGGCGCCAGCGCCGGGCAGAGCCCAACGAGGACCCGGGTAACATGGCTTTGGCCGACTTCAGCGCGTTCAAGCACAGCGCACCAAGTGGATATCGCAAGTTGCCTGTGGAAGATGATGCAGGCTTCTAGTGATTGGCCTGGCAGTCTCACCATGACTCGCTTCGGGGAGCATCACCAAAAAGCTCCGGTGAGCTTCGCGCCCCCTGACTGTCTGGAGGTTGCAGCATTACGGCATTTTACAGTTTCGACATGCTTCGACCAGGTGTGGACTCAGGCTTCTCTTCTGAGGAGCCGGGAGCACGCAATTCTACCGGGGAAAATAGCATCCGGGCAGACGAGGTTAGGTTGTGCAAATCACGAAAGCTGCGCTGTCGAGCTTGCGGAATTTGTCGTTTACCAACTCAATTTAGCTGTAGGGCACCGCCGCGTGCGGGACCGTCGGTTCGCGGGAAACATTTGTACTAGTTTCTAATACCAATTTCCACGGCATTTATCAGCAGAGTGACTTTCACATAGAGTGACCTTGAACATATTGTTTCATTAAGCTCGCATTTGCCTAGCTGCCTCGCTGTTCGCTCTTTCTTGCAAGGTATGTCTCTGATTGTCTCTGCACCGCGAGCCATGGCAAACCTAGAAGTTGCGCGCAGCTGCGTGTTGCGACTTTTGCGGCTCCCGTTCGGGTTGTGTGGGGTGTATTGGCATTTTCGGACCGGAACCTGCCATCTCTCCGTGGGGCCGGGACATAGCCGGTGGTATGTGCCGACCGAAAATGCCACAACACCCGAAATTTTCACGTGTACATCCGTGCGATGCCTCCGCCACACTCGAGTGATTCGCTGTGCTATGCTGCAATAATTAGATTCGCTTGACGGCCCTAGTTTTCGCGAGCCTCTTCTCAAGTTAATTAGCTTTCGATTTCAGACATGTCCAGTTGCGGTTTGGCAGTCTGTGGGCTTTTGTGGGTATGTTGTTTCCTCACCATCCAAACGAGTCATGCCGTGCAGGACGACGCAGTAACCGAGAGCTCGACCACGAATGAGGCTTTGTGGTACACTCCAGAGGTGCCAGGCCCTCAGACTGTCCCGGAGCCGCCAATTTAACCTGCCTTGGCCTTCTCAGGATTCGGCCTGTCGTTAAGATCTGGCGCTGCAAAATGGCGGCTAATCCGTTTAAGGCCGCGACCCGAGCCCGCGCTTGGCCAGCTCTCAATCGTGCAGCCTCGATGAAAGTCTTTGCAAGGCCTGCAGCGTCCGTGGCATGCCTTTGCAGGCAGTTGACGGCAGCTCTTTGCGAATGGCACCAATTCAATCTGCTTTCTTTGCAGGTGGCAATTCCCACAGGCATTCCCGTGCCAGAGACAGCAACTCACCTTGGAGTCACAGCGGCAAACGAGGCCGGACACCCCGATTGCAACAAAGACTTGAAGTAGATCTGCTTGTGCTTGAGGCTGGGGAGAACACCCGGCTGACGGCTGTGAGGTTGTTTGGAGAGGAGGTGCCTGTGGCATGTGGTGTGGTTTTCTTTGAGCTGCTGCTGGTTCATGACATCTTGGGTGCGCTTCACAAGATCCGTGGATGGCGGCCACGTGCCGTCGCTTTCGGAAGGAGCAAGACGGGTTCTCGAGCAAGATCCTCTTGGGAGTCTTGCAAGGCCCGGTCGAGCCTGAAAGTACCAATTGCTTTTTTGATGTTGCCCAAACGTTTCGAAGCTGACTTCTCCTGCAGTTTGCCAGGCTTTTCCACGATGAACCGGGCAGAATGCGGTGCAGGCGGCGATCTGGCACTCGAAGCCATTTGGGCCAACAACTGTCTCCGAGAGGCCAGCATTCCTTGGCACTCGATGACTGGAAGAATGCCATGGTGCATACTCTCAGACTTCCTGGGATGATGTCTTGACTACAGTGGGGGGGGGGGGGGTATGCCAATCGTAAATCCGGGCTCTGACAGATGCTCTTGCAGCGCAACTCGACACTTGGGCTGAGGATTCGATGATGAAGCGCAACGATGCTTCCATGAAGGCCATTGTAGTTCCGCCTGACCTGCGCATTGGACTCATTGGTCTCAGCGGTCTGCTCGCAGGAGGCGTTGAGCCTGTTGTCAGACTGGCTGGAGCCTGTTGCTCTGACACTGCAGGCAGTGTGAGAGTTTGCAAGACACCATCGTGAGTAGATCTTCATGTCTGCATTGCGGGGATCCGGTCATTGTCCACTATCTGGACTGATGTTGCCACGGATCCTCGGAGGACTGTGGCGCCTCCACCTCGCACCGACAGCTTTGAACTCAGGTTCCTGTGGTGTCACAGGCTTCCGGAAATGCCATCCGTGTTCCCCCAGCTTTGTCACGGGGCCTGGCACGTACGCGGAGCATACCCCTCAAGCTTGGGGAAAGAAAGACAGAATGAGCTTTGACTTGAACTAGGACAGGACGTTGAAGTGATTTTGCACATGCGGATGGCAGTATCATGATCTCAGACCCTCCGAAAAGTCCAGAAGATGCAGGCGGGCTCGATGCCCGGTGGGCTTAACTCGCCCCTTTTGCCTAGGAGAAGAAGAGGTTGTGCAATGTAAGCAGATCCTGCCTCAGTCACCCCCGCAACTGATAACCTGCTTAGTGCTCAAGCTGCTTGCAGGTTTCCCGATCAGGTTTTAGTCATTTCTTATCTTATCAAGTCTTAGCAGCTGACCGCAAGCTTGGCCGCACTTGTATTCCACATGTTTTGGTTGAGAAGGAAGGCTTCCAGAATATGCGGTTGCCTGTTAGTCGATGCTGAGAGCTTCGTGTTTGCCCACTGCTGCCATTGTACCCAGAGCCGTCTCCGCAGCTAGCCAAACAGACGTGATTGAGTGCATAGTACACAGTTGACCGATCGTGTGTCATGAGTACGTCTTTTCTGTTCTGCTCCGTGCCGTGCTTGCATGAATGTAGTCATTCCCAGTCCAGGTAGCACGATGCCATGCAGGGGGTGGACTTAAACAGTGCTGTTCGACCATTGTACTGTTCGGCTGTTGCTTGAGAAGCGAGTTTTCCCCGTGAGACTGTCTTTCACTCTTTGCACCCGCAATATGTGGGGTTGCATTAGCACGAGGGAGGGGCCGCTCCCCTTTCCCCAGCCTTAGCGAAAGACAGAGAGTGGACGCACGGGGTAAGGGTCGCCACGGGCCAGGGGACTCTCGGGACCCCACACACCCCTTGCAAGCAAGAGCTGGTGAAAGAAAGAAAGAGTTCGAGCGAGGGAGTAATTAAGTGAGTTTGCAAGCAAGCTCGCCTCACCGAACTCGAAGCATGCTTTTGGCTACCCACCATCCCAGTGGACCACCTGAAGAGGGGGCGCCCACCCGACACCACAAGCACGGAGTCGCACGAGCAAGCACACGCAACAACACAGACCCACACATAGCCGCAGCCACAACAGCAGGTCCCTGCTTGTGCGACAGATCCAGGGCCGTTAGCGGGGTGGGCACCCACCAGCGCAAGCAAGCCCGAGGCTGACTTGAGGCTGGAGTGCTTTTGCTGTCTCACTCTCTCTGGGCCAGCTCAGCCCCACAACAGGTGGTTGTGCACTTGTGGGCGGGAGCGGCAATCCGGAAAGAGCGAGACCGAAAAGGAAGCACTCGCACGGGAGGGGGCGGGGGGGGGGACAGGGGCTTGGGCAGGGGCGGGAAACCTTCAAAGAGACGAGAAATAGGGAAGCAGACCAGTTAAGGCTGCGCGTTGCTTTTTTGATATCGATCGGTGTGCCTTGATGGTTCGGGGGTCTAGACCCAGGCCTCGATCAAGCCCTGTGGTGAAGCCAATGCAAGCGGTGCCCGAAACTGCTTGGCGGCTTGGCGAAGGGAAGGCCAAACCGCGACTCTTGTCAGGAGCCTGCTCCCAGACCACAGAACTCAGAACACCTTCACGCACTCAACATGTTGAGTACCATCGTTGCTGATGATTTTGCAGCCAAGTTCCGTTTTAAAGCTCGAGGTTTGCAGCAGCCCTGCTGCGCCTCCGCAATGGTGTTATGCAACTGGGAGGCAAAAATGGGGATCGTCCGTACAGCGGGCTATAGCAGCTTTAGCATGCTTCCCGTGAATCCGAAAACGAATTGCTGACAGAGGGAGTCCAGGAGCTTTGGAGTTGTAACTGCTCCAGCTCACGGCTGAGGTTCTACCAGCCCGGTCAGGCCATGCCTTGGAAGAGTCCGGCCAGAAAGACTTGGCCCAGAGCGAATGCTTGGCACACGAAGGTGCTGTCAATCGACAAGGTGTCCATCTTCCATTGGGTGAACACCGCCATCGCCTCTTTCAGGCCTGACAGCAAAGCTGGTTTCGTCCTCGATCTGTTTGAGAAGCCAAGCGAATGCTGAGCTTCCTGCTTTTCCGCGGGGCAGGAGAAGCTGTTTGCTTCTGCCCTGCTCCGCTAGCAGATCTTCGAATTTCTCCCGTGCGCCTGCCGCAGGAGGGAGGAGTACGGGTTGTTCGGCAGGGATGTTGGCAATCTCGTGCGCCAGCTAGCAAGCCCGACGGTATTGGAATTACAGGAATTTGCACGGGGCTTGACACCTTCGACACTGTCAACATTAGCAATGGCCAGGTCCCGCTATCCCCAGCGCAGGCCCCGGACAGACAGGGCTGGCATGCTGGACTGAGATGGTGCACAGACCTGTTGAGGTTCAAGAGCAGGCAGACGCAACCAAGCTCGATTCCGCTGCACCCGAAGCAACTGCAGATGCCGAAGTGGTGTCTTGGCTGGGCCTTATGCTCGAGAGAGGACGGAGAATGCACGTCGATGCAGTGCCCGAAAGAATCGTGGCATGAGGAATCCGTGTCCTCCAGCTCATCTGGGCAGTCTTGACCTCAGTGTGTCTTGAGGCTAAAGAGGGCCACCTTGCGGTACTTCAAGTGAAGACGCTGCGCCTGGCAGGGGCCTGAAAGTCGCGCGTGCAGAATGACGGCCTGCGGGGTCACGTTTTAAAAAGCATGGAGCGAGGAAGCACGACCTCATAGAACCTGGCTCTCTCAGAAGCTGCTCAGACCGCAAAGCTAGACTGTCTACGACGACGGATCTTCCGATGTGATGGCTCGATGCAGATTAGCCTTTCCTGCTGTGGTTGGCCGAGCTGCCTGTGGAACGGCAGCCTGAATGCAAGTGGGAACATGCTTCAAACAGGCAGAGTTAATTTCGGCGGTGGCTTGGTGGACAGCGGAAGTTTTATCCTTCATTGCTTTCACGGCTTGTCTGGGAAGTAGGCGTCTTGCAGTGTTGAGTGTTGCTGAATCCAAGATAGCCCGAGCCAACCGTTAATGTTGGCGATGGATCAAGCTGTGAGGTCAGAGATAGAAAGCAGTTTTAGTTGCTCCAGTGGGCAACCACAGTCCACACCAACACCTGGCTTTACGTGCTTAATTGTTCAGTCCTGGCTGACATATCAGCGAAGAAGGCACCGCACGGGTTCTGCACAGCCACGGTCGCCTAGCGTCGGCGTAAAGTGTGCTTCTTCGAAGCGCTTTCAAGGACTCGCAGTCGGATGCAGAGAACAACGCCAAGGCAGGGAGTGGTGGTGCAGCGCAGTGCCGACAATTTCACACTTTACATATTTCAGTGGTATGCAGGCGGCTCGAGTTTAGCATGTAGTGCCTGATCTTCTCGGGGCCTCCCCGACTGGAGACATGCAAGGCTGCACTGTTATAGGCAGGGTACTGCTAGCAGCCTTGGTTGTGCTCGCGGATGTGTCGAATGGGAAGCACCCGGGAAATGGAAGCTGTGCCAACGACGACGATCAGGCCCTCTTACAAGCACGAGTGAAAAATGTCAACATTACAATTGGTACCGTGACTGGTTGTGACCCTGACGACACGCCGCCTGTGCTGAGCGTGCCTTCTGACATTAGATTTGCCACGGACCTTGACAAGTGTAAGGCAGAGGTGCCCTACCCCTATCCCAGCGCGGAGGACAACTGCGACCCGGACCCAGTGGTTGAGCAAACCGAGGGCCTGGGCTCCCTCGGAAACTTCCCAGTGGGCATCACGACGGAGTCCTTCAATGCGACGGATTATTCTGGCAACACTGCAAGCGGTAGCTTCACCGTTACGGTGTATGACAGCCAGGACCCGCAGGTGTCGTCTGTGCCTGCAGACATCGCAGTGGATAACGACCCTGGGCAGTGTGTTGCTTTGGTGACCTTTGCAGCACCTACGGCTTCGGACAACTGTCCGGGAGTGGAAATTGCACAGACTAGCGGCTACGGCTCGGGTGCTGCTTTCCCGCTGGGCAGCATGACGGTGAGCTTCACTGCGACCGATGCTTCTGGCAACACCGACGACGAGAGCTTCACTGTTACGGTGAATGACAACGAGGACCCAGTGCCGGTTTTGCCTGCGGACATCGTTGTGAGCAGCGACCCTGGGATGTGTGGCGCCAGTGTGACCTATCTGGTGGATGCAACGGATAACTGTGGAGCGACGATTGCACTGACCAGCGGATTAGGCTCCGGTGCTATTTTCCCAGTGGGCCCTGCCACTACCGAGAGTTACACTGCAACCGATGCAGCTGGCAACACTGCAAGCGGTAGCTTCACTGTTACGGTCAATGACAACGAGGACCCGAAGGTGTCGCCTGTGCCTGCAGACATCACAGCGGACACCGCCCCTGGACAGTGTGCTGCCTTTGTGACCTTTGCAGCACCTACGGCTTCGGACAACTGTCCGGGAGTGGAAATCGCACAGACTAGCGGCTACGGCTCTGGTGCTGCTTTCCCGCTGGGCAGCACGACGGTGAGCTTCACTGCGACCGATGCTTCTGGCAACACCGACGACGAGAGCTTCACTGTTACGGTGAATGACAACGAGGACCCAGAGTTTTATTTCCTGTCTGACATCGTGGTGAGCAGCGACCCTGGAGTGTGTGGGGCCGAAGTGACCTATCCTGTGGATGCAACGGATAACTGTGGAGGAGCGAGGACTGCACTGACCAGCGGATTAGGCTCCGGCGCTATTTTCCCGGTGGGCCCTGCCACTACCGAGAGTTACACTGCGACCGATGCAGCTAGCAACACTGCAAGCGGTAGCTTCACTGTTACGGTGAATGACAACGAGGACCCGAAGGTGTCGTCTGTGCCCGCAGACATCACAGTGAACACCCGCAGTGGACAGTGTGTTGCTTTGGTGAGTGACCTTTGCAGCACCTACGGCTTCGGACAACTGTCCGGGAGTGGAAATTGCACAGACTAGCGGCCCGCTCTCTGGTCGTGCTTTCCCGGTGGGCAGCACGATGGTGAGCTTCACTGCGACCGATGCTTCTGGCAACACCGACGACGAGAGCTTCACTGTCACGGTGAATGACAACGAGGCCCCAAAGTTTTGGTTGCCTTTTGACATCGTGGAGAGCAGCGACCGTGGAGTGTGTGGGGCCGAAGTGACCTATCCTGTGGATGCAACGGATAACTGTGAAGTGACGACGATTGCACAGACCAGCGGATTAGGCTCCGGCGCTATTTTCCCAGTGGGCCCTGCCACTACCGAGAGTTACACTGCGACCGATGCAGCTGGCAACACTGTAAGCGGTAGCTTCACTGTGACGGTGTATGACACCGAGAATCCGAAGTTGTCGTCTGTGCCTGCAGACATCATAGTGGACAACGACCCTGGACAGTGTGTTGCTGTTGTGACCTTTGCAGCGCCTACGGCTTCGGACAACTGTCCGGGAGTGGAAATTGCACAGACTAGCGGCTACGGCTCTGGTGCTGCTTTCCCGCTGGGCAGCACGACGGTGAGCTTCACTGCGACCGATGCTACTGGCAGAACAGACCAAGAGAGCTTCACTGTTACGGTGAATGACAACGAGGACCCAGTGCCGGTTTTGCCTGCGGACATCGTGGTGAGCAGCGACCGTGGAGTGTGTGGGGCCAATGTGACCTATCTGGTGGATGCAACGGATAACTGTGGAGCGACGATTGCACTGACCAGCGGATTAGGCTCCGGCGCTATTTTCCCAGTGGGCCCTGCCACTACCGAGAGTTACACTGCGACCGATACAACTGGCAACACTGTAAGCGGTAGCTTCACTGTTACGGTCAATGACAACGATCCTCCAGCTCTTGAGGTCGAGGATATCGGTGTGAACTCCTGCAGTCCGACTGTTGTTACGTTTTCTCCTACAGCAGCTGACAACTGCCCAGGTGTGACAGCTGCTTGCAGTCCGTCATCGGGCTCTGAGTTCCCCGTCGGCGAGACAGAAGTGACCTGCACGGCAGTCGACGCCGCGGGCAGCACCACTCAAGAGAGCTTCGTCGTTTTGGTGGAGTGTGCTGGCCATGGTTACCACAAAAAGTCTCACAGCAACAACATCCGCAGCCGCAGAAGCCGCCACCTGAAGAAGTGGTTGTACAGAAACCGACGCCTGAAGAAGTGGTGGCACAGAAAGCGCCACCTGAAGAAGCGGTCGCACTTCAGGCGCTACTGGCATCACTAGGAAACGCCGATGAATTCCACAATTTTTTTGTAAAGTCATCGTTTTTATCCTGAAAACTCGCAGGAAGTTCAATCAAGCTTTTAAAGGGCTCTCGAAACTGGTCGGAGCCCACAGTTGACGTGCTGTTTTAAGTGAGAAGGCCTCAAAACGGCGTTGTCACATCTGTAACCAGGTAGCAATCATTGGTGACTGAATGCACTTGCCCTTGGTCTCCGATGCGAGAAGCCAGGTGCTGGTGGCCCCTGCGATGGGATCTCACTCCTCACGTCTATCCCATGCCGCTCTGAGATCATGACTTCAAGCAGCTGCAGTGTTTTCATTGCCTGAGCTTTTCGACGGGTGAAATCATCCACTAGCATGGCAGAGTACTCAGGATGAGTCAGGTAACACAAAAAACTCCCAGAAAATCCAAGGAAGCTGGTTTCAGAGCATCTGGTCGGGTGCCCGGCATTGAAGCAGTGGTGTATGCTTGGGCGCTTTGGGTCTGTTATGGTCTGTTGCCAGGGTACCTTACCGTGGCGAGTCAAACAAAGGGCCCGCGTCCCTATACAGTTGACGAATGTCCGTGAGGCCTTGCCCTTGTCGCGTCCAAGATGTTCCCGGAGTGCAAGTGTGGAATTGATCTGTTTTGTCTCGCCTGCCTTGTGCCGTTGTGCTTTGGCCTTCCTTGCCTGTGCCCTCACCCCTAACCCCTTGCACCTTCTAAGCTTTAAGCCATGAGCACTGTCAGGTGGCTTGATGTGTGCTGTGCTGTCTGCACGGTGTTGTCTGGCAACTTGTCGTTTGCATTTTGCCGCTGGCCGCAGCTCACTCAAACGAAGCGCAGAAAGTTTCCTCATCCCTGCATCGGACTAGATCTTTCCGAAGATACTCTGGTTGGTCGGCATTTGCCGGCGATGTTACCATCAATGAAGCCGCACGCTCGCGTGCTGATTTTGGCTGCCTGTTGCGCCGCCTCGTGGACCTTCAAGTTGACCGAGAGTCCCATCCAGCTGACCGACTCCAAGAACGAAACCGCCAAAAGGATGATTGAGGAGGTGGTGTCCGAAAACATGCAGAGGGACATGCACGACATCAACGGGCTTCCGAACCCTGAGGGGGACAATGAGAGCGAGAGCAAGGCGGGCTTTGGCGAGCTTGCAAAAAACCTGGAGTTCTTGCTCTTGAAGGTCGCACAGCTCGAGACGGTGGCCGAGATGCATGAGGCAGCGATCCAAGAGCAAGCCAAGGTGATCCAAGCACAACAACAAGAAATCAATACCTTGAAGGGTGAAAGTCAAAAAGATGGAGCCGTCTTGCTGGAAATGGAGCACCAGGACGCCCAGACACGATTGAATGAGGCCCAGGCCCTGGCGAAGAGAGTGATGCTGAAGCAGACACGTCAACGACAGACGCGAGACTTGGCTGCCTTTGGCGCTGCAAAAATCTCTATGTACAGCACCTGGTCAAAAATCCTGGGGGCACCTGAGGTAATTTCCACGAAGGTCTCCCTGCGGACGAGCCGCACTCATCGGATGTTGAGGAATCGGGGGTAAACTTGGCGGCCGAGAGCGCGTCGTCCTCTGAGCAAGAGTCTGCAGCTGGTCCTGTCACAAAAGTGCTCTGTGCTACAACTTGATCTTTTTTCTTCGTTCCAGTTTCTTCACGCTTCGCAAGTGACCGGCCACAGATGAGGCAAGTTGGCCGTGGAAGCACCGCAGAAGAAGATGGAACCCAGTGCATATTGTGAAAAGCGTAGCCGAAACGATGGCTGACGGCTATGCGGCTGCAAAGGACAAGGTGGGGCAGTGCGGCTTGCACATGGAGAAGCTTCCAAGTCCTAGCTATGGGTCGTTTAGGGTCTGGGAATCTAAGGACTCTAGACCTTCGTGGACTCTCCTTGCACAGTCTTATAGAGATGCTACAACCCGGTGAGGCAAAGTGGGTACGCGAGAACACCATCAATACAGTGGAGAAGGCCGTCAAAGTTCTCACCCAAGGCTTCTCAGATTTTGGTGCTTCCTGTCCACACTCGACACTTCCTCGTATCACAAGCTTCACTTCTCATGGGCTGTACATCGACTTTGGAAAGCTTTATTGCAAAATCTCGCTCATAGGGCAGAGCACTCCGTTGTTCGGATTCAACTTCGGATCAAAATCCACAGCGCTGCCTCCTGCACTAAAGACAGCTGCTACCATTGGTGGTGAGCTCACAAGCTGCACGACAACTGGGAGAAGTGCTATGCGTTGCCTCAGCGACAAGACCACAGACGTGATGTCTTGGGACTCCGTAAACACGATTGGCGATTGGATCATCAACCCCAGTCACGGTGTGCCCTCCTTGGCGACCGTGGCTAAGCTGGGTGTTGAGCTCGGGAGCTGCATGCAACAAGGGTTCCAACTTTTCCGATGCATCAGTGACAAGGCGACGGGCATGATGTCCTGGGGCTCCGTAAAGACGATCGGCGGATGGATCCTTAACCCTACCCACGGCATGCCCTCCTTGGCGACCGTGGCCAAACTGGGTGGTGAGCTCGCGAGCTGCACACAAACTGGGCCCGGTATTATGCGTTGCCTCAGCGACAAGACCACCAACGTGATGTCCTGGGGCTCCGTAAAGACGATCGGCGGATGGATCCTTAACCCTACCCACGGCATGCCCTCCTTGGCGACCGTGGCCACACTGGGTGGTGAGCTCGCGAGCTGCACACAAACCGGGCCCGGTATTATGTCTTGCCTCAGCGAAAAGACCATCGACGTGATGTCCTGGGGCTCCGTAAAGACGATCGGCGGATGGATCCTTAACCCTACCCATGGCATGCCCTCCTTGGCGACCGTGGCCAAGCTGGGTGGTGAGCTCGCGAGCTGCACACAAACTGGGTGGGGTATTCTGCGTTGCCTCAGCGAAAAGACCATCAACGTGATGTCCTGGGGCTCCGTAA